AATTCATTCTTAGTCATTTGACTAAACAGAGCTTGATTCTCGGAAGTACTGAAAAGCTGTTCTGAATTCAGTAAAAGCTCTGGAATCCGTGCATGGGTTGTTGTCCTCAGATCAGGTCAGAGTGAGTAGAAAAAAGGCCCAACAGAGCAGAGAACTTTCCCACAGAGAAAGAGAAGAGAAACTCCAGGATGACATGAACAAGAACAAAAGCAAGGAGCAACTGTAGAAGTCACCCTGAGGATTATGTATATTTCTTCAGTTGATGCTGTTAAAAATTCATATTCATTGCTTTAAAGGACCACATTTCATCCTTCATTCCTGCAAGACTCTTGCTGTAGATTGTGACGATTATTTACATCTCAATTTATTTCTCAGCCCATTAGCCATAATTAAAAATAGAATTTTGCACTCTCCAGAATCCTTTCCTGGAGAGTTTCACCTTGTAGATGAAAGGGGATTAGATAGGATGATTTATTGGGCTCATGTACAGTCCCCTGAGTGTACTGTGGCACTGAGCTGAAAGTAAGATGAAATGATATCCAGTCTGGCAACCACTTGCACCATGAGTTGAATAAATCCTGTCCCTTGACAAAAACTCTGTCCTGTTCCGTCCAAATTTGCTTGAATTCCTGATGTGTGTGGGCTCTTGGTAGCATGAAGTTAGGGTTGGAGAAGGCAGTGGCTGTCCGCCAAGGCAGTCTGCCTTTAGGATGCTGGACTCCGTACCTATGGTTGTGTTGTCATGAAGTGCCTTAGGCTGTGCCAATGAAAAGTGCCAAAAATTATTTTTTACGGTTATGACATTCCATCTTGAAGAGGGAATTGGAAACGATGTTCAGGATCACAGATCTGACGTTTGATCATTGCTCTGCAATTACTTTTTAGATTTTCAGGACTTTTTGGTACTAAAGTCAAATAGAAATGCAGTCATAAATCTGGCAGAGGCTTTGCTTTCTTGCTTGCTTCTCCTCTGCTAAGTCAGAGAAACAAAAAGAAAGAAATATGTGGCTGTGCACAGTTACTACCACAACATGAAAAAATTCTTTGAGGTGATTATTCTATGAGAGGAGATAGCAAACCTTTGTTATCACATTTGTTAGGGCAAGGTTTCAGGACCATGATGTCTTTTGAAACATTTCTAGATGCCTTATTACTTTCTTAGATGCTCTTAAAAGTGTGCTTTTTTTGACTCTGAGTTCTTTGTCTTTGCTAGGTACTAATGAGGGATCGTCCTGAAATACTCTTGATAAAACCCTAGCTTATTCATACCAAAACACCTTTTTCTTCAACTCAGAGTGATGTCATGCAATGTGTCTCACAGGAAAAGATAAAAGATCCCAGCAAAAGGATGCAGCTGGCTAGGGCTGTTTCCCTTGCAGGAAAGGATACTGGCAGGAGGGTAATGTACTGGGTCTGAAGTGTATTGATTTCCGCAGACGCCTTATTGCAAAAAATTCTGATGTCCAGAATGGAATCTGGTCTGAAAGAGAAGGAAAAAAACTCTACCACCCTAGAGAAACTGCTTGTAAGAGCACAAGATTGCTGATAGCTTCCCAGCTTCAGGACCCCAATTCTAATTCAGGCACAGTGAAAATTTGCACCAGTTTAGTGAGATCCAGTCTATAGAGACTGGGTTTTTATTGCTATTACTGACTGAACCCTAATGGCATAGTTGTTTCTGTTGATAGTTTGAATTCCTTGGATATTACTCTGGTTTTAGTGTCCTTCAGATATTTTTTTCATTAATGAATCTCTGCTGTCCATATGCTATGATTTTCCAGGGATGCTTTTTCTTTGGTAGGTTAAAGAGATGTCTTTAACCTGCAACACTTCCTCGGCATAGTGCATTGTGGTGAAAAATGGTGATTACATGTAAAAGCTCATTATGGAAAAATATATCCTTTGGCACATCCAGTTCATTAGGGCTATGTAACTGATACAAAAACTACATACAGTTTTCTTGATTTGCAGGATTTTTTAGTCTATCTCAAACCTGATTCTCATTACATCTTTGGACTTCTTCCTAGAAATTAGGAATACTTAAAAGCAATCTGTGGCTTGTGTCATCAGTGTATGATTCAACCACTGGAAGAGATACATTTGAGTAGACTGAAAGAGGACGGAACTGGTTGTGTTTTCAACCTAAAATAGTACTTCTCCAGATTGTGTTTGGGCAAATATTGTTCTCTTTATGTGCTTGCATTCCAGACAGTCTGTGGTGTACCTGTGAAGCAGAACTGTCTTGTCTCCAGGACATATCCCACAGACTGTTGCCTTCATTTTTGTAGGATTGTGAGCAGAAGGAACTGAACATGTGGCAAAATTAATAATTGGGTAGCATTCATAGTTTTATTCTTAATTAAGGACAACTGGTATGTAGGAAATGAATAAGACACTTTTATTACAAGCAGGGGTTTCCATGGTTGCCCCCTGCTGAGATACCTGGAGGTCATTTTATTTGTGGAGTTGGGGAGCCATTTTGTGGCCGAGGACTGGTGGGCTGCTTACTGTTCTGCTTAGAGTTACCTATTGCTGCTTACTGTTCTGCTTACAGGGTTGCTTACAGTTACTTACTGTTACTTACAGTTAGGGTGTGAAGGTGGGCAGGAAAGTATGTAAGGCAGTAAGACCAGTCTGGGCTCACTGCCAAGGGACCATGAGGCTGGAGGCAGGGAAACAACTTGATAGGTTGATTAAAACAACACATGGACTGCAAGAAGAAGACTATATGACCTTTTAAGGAAGAAAACAGGGAGGCTTGGCATGGGAGGAGCGAGGGAGTGGTTATGTAAATCAAAGGGTCTTAAAAAGGCTCATCCCTCCCATTTGGGGTGTGCTCAAACCTGGTCACGAGTTCGGTGCACCCAGTGTGCTGTTAATACGTTCTTTGTTTCACTTTATTTGGCCATCTCTGAAATTTTAATTAGAGATATTTCTCACAGCTATGTGAAATGTATTTCCTCAGGGCTGTGGTGAGGGAGAAGTCACAATTTCACCACTAAAACAAAGCGGAAAAAGACACCAGCAAACAAAATAGGCATACTCTAATATTCATCAAAGTCAATAGGAACTTTTTGACTTTAAAGGGCATTGGACTTAACCCTGCAAGATCATATTAAAATGCTTAGAAGTACTTAAGTACTTATTCTTACCATACTGCAGTAATAGAGCCAGAAAAACTGTAGGTGAATTTTAATTTAACCCACTCTGTACATTTTTAATTGTGTTCACATAGTTGGTTGCATACAGTTGGATTAGGTGGCAATTTATGTGATGATTTGTATTTGACTGTTGCTACATGGCATGCTCTTTTATAGTTGTTTCTCTCTTTACATAGTTTTCTTGTAGACTGATACAATCCTTGCTTAAATTTATACACTTCTGTGAAAGCAAAGCTAGCGACTTCTGTGAGTTGTAGTGTTGTTATTTAGTGGTCTCAGTATGGTACAGTTCTTACCCTGGGGATGGGACTGTGGAAGGGGCTGCAGGCACAAGTGTCTCTTCTGCTGAAAGGACTCACAATGCTGCCGAGCATGCATGGTCCTTTTTGTGGGACTTGGAAGAGGTCACTGAGCCATCACCATTGCTGCTATGTCTGCTGTTGATCGGTGTCTGTTATCAAGAAAGCACAAACCACTCCAAACAATGCACAGTTTAAACTTCAGGACCCTGGCAGAAATTGGTGTTAGGGTAGGGAGTTTAAGGGCTGGCTGAAGGCTTCAAGATGCAGGAGAGTAACTATCAGCCAGCCTGGTCTCTATTATTATTCACCCAACTAACCGATGATTTGGGAATTTGGTTAACCACTAATCTTTGTCTGACTTCAGAGATCTGTGGCCCCTCAACATATTGGAGAAAGCAAATGGTTGCCTTGAAACAGATCAAACAGAGCGGTCTGAAAGCCAGTTACTACCCATCTGGAAGATGCAATTTAAATGGCATTGCATCTCAATTGCTTCTAGTGCTTGGCAGGCTGTGTTCAGAGAAGGCCATTGCCAATGCAAGGTGAAGTTGAGAGCTGGCCCATTTGGAGATTTGTTGTGCTTACTTATGATCTTTATTTATTGCCTCAATTTCATCTGCACTGATTACATGCTATGTTTTTAAGTAACTCAAATTTAAGAGGAATGTCTGCCTATGAAAAGATAGAGCATTTGCCACTTCTGTTTTCTGGTAAATTGGATTTTGAAAGTCAGGACTGAACAGAGCACAATGAGCCTTTTGTCCTTGCACAGCAAACTGAATTTAAGCAATGCATGTTATGACAAATGGTATGAGTTTTGTGGCTTGGGCTCCAGCAACAAGAAACGGCAATCCTTTTTTCCCATCAGCCAAATAATATGACACCATTTAATACATCTGGTATGAAGCCTAAGAATAATAGGTATAATAAAGAAACTGAAAACTTTCTTCTTTTACAAACTGAAAGTGGGGGGAGCTGTGAATTTTGCTTTGAGAACCGTGCTGGAAGATGACCTTTCTTGCCCCTCCAGGTCTGTAGTCTTATTTTATAACCACATTGGTATTTCCACCTGTCCGTTCATTTCACTGATATTGCAAAACAACAAAGGAAGATGGAGGTTTTTTTGTTCTTTTAATGTGTGGAGCTCACTGGAGGTGACTTCAGTCAAAGTCTAGGATTTAGAAACCCCAGAGATTAAGATGATTTGCTTCTGCAGAATTATTGGAATCGGTTTCTAATTTATTTTATTTTTTAAGAAAATGTCTTTTATTGAAAACCACTAGATTTATAAATGTGCCAAGTATGCCACTGCTTCTGTGGATTCAAGAGTAAGTCCCAAAAGAATGACTATTTTTTTAAAAATCTATTTTATTTTTTTTAAATCTTTTGACTTGTTTGTTCTATGTGCTTATTCCTGTTTGGCCTGGAGAAGAATAAAGGAACTAGAGAAACCTGCCTTCTGTCTGCAGTGTTGAATCTGGTTTAATTGCATGTTTAATTAAGTGGTCTGGTTTAATTGAATGTATAATTGTTGTAGATGGAAACCTGCTTACTTATATGCACTGGTGAAATATCTATTTGGTTTCTTGTACAGAAAAGAGTCGAAGACGTCATCTCTCCAATTGTATTTGAAGCTGCGTACAGCCTTTGGGAACATGTGATAGAAGGAGGAAAAGAGGACAAGGAACTACCTGCTCTCAAGCCCATTCTCCGTTGGAAGAAAGGACAAAAGATAGCACAAAGGAATCAGGTCAGATTTGGACTACATTATTTCCCTAGAAGACCTGTGGCTTGAACTGACAGCAGAGCTGGCTGTAAAAGTGGATTGCCAAACTCTGGGTCATTTGCAAAAAGTAACCTTTTTGTACAATCCCTACTGTTGCTAACATCACTGCTGTTCCATAACATAGTAAAGACTTGGGCTACCAAGACTGGACAGCAAAAGGTGAGGCCACTTTCTTGTTTCAGGGTGTCTGTGCTGGGAAGGGAAAGGATAAGAAAGGTCCTATTCCTCCTGTTCTTCCCTTTATGCAGGAAGTTCTAGTGAAAGGCTTGGTCCTGGCCTTCTTTCCAGGTTGAGCCTTTGTTAGTGCTGGAGGGACAGAGCTGACTCCAGGAAGGGACATGGGAACTGTGTGAGGGGAGAACAGTGGGCAGAATAAAGAAAATTTGCCTGGCTCAACTGCCCTCTTCTTGAGGACTCCTCAAGTCCAGTTATGTGGCAAGAGAAACCTGCTCCAGCTGTCACATGTCATGGTAAAATGGGATGGTTTTATTTCAGAGAAAGTAAAGTGTAGGTAGAGCTATCTACATATTAGGATCCTATTTTGTTCCACTGCAATGCAGAGAAACCCTTCTGTCATTAATTTTGGTGAGAGCAAGAGAATTCCCTTAATGTTGAAACACTCCTCATTTAAAGGGTTGAAATTCTTTCTATTATTATTATTATTTCATTTTTCTCCCGTCCCCCTTTCTCCCAGATTGTTCCCTAGGGGACTGAAGTGCATGAGATTATTCCACCTCTCGTTTGTCTGTCTTGATCTCACTAGTATCTTTGAAAAATGCAGGCAAACGTTGTCAGGTTTTGACAGGAGTGATCAAGGCAGCGCTTATGAAGGTATTAAACACTTTCAGGGTTCACGAAGTATGTGCTCGTGTTGATGAGAAAGACCCTGCTAGTGGCCTTTTAAAAGCCTTCATTTTCAGTGTAGCCCTTGTAGGTGCAAAACAGTCTGCCGAGGAAGGAGCCTGCATGACAATTCAGCCTTCCACCATGCCAGCACCGAAGCGTTCAGCCATGAAGTTCAAGGCTTCTCAGGGAAATCAAAGTTCTGCTGTGGTAGGGAAAGCTTCTCGTGTGTCAGAATTGTGAGGTAATTTACAGTGGAAGGGTCCTCTGTAGCTCCAGTTCCTTATTCAAAGTAGAGCCAACTTAAAAGTTAAATTGAGTTGCTCAGGGTTACATCCATTCAAGTTCATTTTCCAAAGCATGCTTACATAATTAGGATCTGGCATTACTTGTGAATGCAAAACTTCTCTTTTCTTTTTCCTTTTTTTTTTAAGTAGCAAAAAGTCTGTCCTAGAGTCTGAGACTTTCAGTAGTGAATGGTTAGATCTGATTTTTAACCCTACGAAGTTTGTGTCTATTGAGTGATGATAGCATCATAATCTGTAGCATTACTTTCTGATGCTGCTCATAAGATCCCTCAATACTACTTAAAAAAAGAGTAACTAAAATGTTTAAAGATATTTGCTTTGTCATATACCCAAGTGTGTTGAACTGTATTTGGTTATAATCCTTGTACTTAAAAGATATGAGTATTAATTCAAGTATGATTTATTTTTATAAATGTATGAATGAAAGATGCATTCAAGAATTACTTTTTTTATGAAGAGAAATTGTATGACTGTTATGTATATGAATTTTGTATTGTTGCAAAAACATGATGGGAATTTGTGGAGAACTTTGGAACTCGAGTAGTATGTTGAAAACCTGCGTATTACATGAACAAAGCTGCTTGTATACTTTACCCATGGGCTTAAACTCAAAAGGTCACATCTTGCTCTGCAGGCATGGTTTCAGATCAGTATTAAAATACCTAAAGAGATTATAGAGCAGAAACAAAAATATGTTAGGACTTTCCCTGACTTGTTTTCTTGTGCAGTTTGGGTGAGAGGGAGACGGTTTAACAATCCCTTTCCATTTGCTTTCCAGATGTTGTTCACTTAGCTTAGTAAGAAAAGGATTTTCACATTGGGTGTGCTGTCATATTTTCAACTAAGGAAGTAAGAAAAGCTTCAGAGCTAGTGTGGCAGTCATGGTGACAAAGCCCTGATGGATTAGCCTTGGTGCTGGAGGCATGGAGGCGTGGTGCTGGGGTCCTCAAAGGCCAATTTCATGGGAAAATTGGGATGTAGCATTCTCTTTCGGGATTCTTATTATATTCTTAGTAGAAATAGTTTTTAAAAGCCAAGAGCTTTTATAATAAATGATTTGCATTTTCAAAGAATCTAACGGTTTTGAAGGAACGCTTTGGAAGTCCAATTTAAGTCTTAGTGGTTTCTGTTTTTAGAAGATACGGCACAGGTGAGGTCAGGTGGACAAAGTTAATGTTAGTACTACTGTCTTTAAATATAGCTGGTTGTGTGTTGTTTTGGCAAGTCCTAGATCCTGTTGATCCAGTAAGACGTGGCATTTTGGAATCAAAATTGTTGCATATGTTCATTCAAGACACCATTTAGATAAGGATACTTTTCTGAAACGCCAGGTGACTGTTTTTTGTGAATGAACACAGAAGAAGCTGGAAGCAGTGAATAGCTGAAAAAATGGGAGGATACCATCACTGAGCAGGAAAGGGGGAGACTTCCATTTTTCAAGATCCGGCTACACCTCTGCTAGACCTTCTCGAAAAGCCATACATTTTGCAAACATGGACTTTACAGTCACCTAGATGTGATTTTATTTAAACTAAAGTGATGTTAAAGCTGAAGTGATCTCTTTCACCGGTATTTCAGTTTTTCTTTCATGAACCAGATGTTTCCTGCATTTGTCACCTCCCAGCAAGTATACAGCCCTATGACTCACAAACAAGGAGGTAGGAAAGCCATCAAGAGGCCTCTTGACATAAGAATTGAAGATTATATTGAGCATGTGAAGTTCTTTGTGTTGTTTTGCTCTGATGCATTTAAGGAGTCTTCTTGGAAATACTGTTCATGGATATCCACCACCAAAAGTGACATCTCCTTAATGACATTATCACAGAAAAGGATTTTGTTGGATATTCATCTTTTAAATAACTATATGTGATATAAATACTATATGTGTATTGCACTATATGTGAGAGAACAGTCTAACCCTGTACTCATCACTTAGACCAAAGCAGAACTATAATAGTAAAGGAGTGCATTGATGTGAGATGTCATTCAAAATGCTTTTGTTTATTGGTCACCTTCATTTTAAAAGGATGCAGCTTTTACTGTAAGGCACTGCAAAATGCTTTTATTTAAAAATAAAACAAAACAAAAGTAAACCTTGACTGTTAAGTGAGGAAACCTGCTTCTGTTCCTAAATGAACTGTGCTTGAAACAATCAAAAGATGATAAATAATTGTAATATCTAACTTATTTGAAGAAAAGGTTCTTCACTGAAATTTCTTAATGAAAAACATGCAATTTTGGGATGTCATTATTCGTTATTTTTTGCAAGCAAATAGGCTCAGATACTTCAAAATTAAGTAATAATGTAACTAAGCTGTTCTGAAGGATTATTTGGCCCAGGATGCAGTAATGGTTTCTATTGGACTTTATTATTTTCTTAGTTCTTATATATGCTTACCAGAAATGGCAGTTGCTATAGATTGATGAATTTTTTTGTGGTAGAAAAAGTAAATACTTATACGTCTATTGATAAATGGCTCAGCAACTAGTACAATTGTTGGATGGAGACTAGCTGCATGGAGAAGATTATAGCTTTCCAAATTAGCCAGCTCGGTTTTGCTCAAACAGAAAATCTCTGATGGGTTAAGATTAGGTGGGGAGGAAAAAAGGTTCTATTTTTCAAGAGTGTATTACAAACTTTAAAACTTCCCACTCTAAGGATGAATTTCCATTAACTTCTTTATTGCCTCTTAAATCCAGTTGCTACCTCCATCCACAGGAAAAAAACTAGTAAGTCTGCTTGCTTAAGGGAAATGAATATGTATTTACTTGATTTGGCTTTGTAAGAGGTTTATACTATAACATTTATTTTTGTATACCCACTGTATGTCAACCAAGAAGGGGAGAGCTCTCCTGCCATGTACAGTGGAGAATTGTTCTTAGTAGTACCCAGTAATGTATCTTAGAGTTCAAAATGTGGTAGACTAGAATTCTGCCTGCTCTAAATGCTGTAATAAAATCACCTAGTATTATGTGGATGGAGACACCATTTTGTTTTAGGAAAATATTCTTATTGGGGTTTTTTGTGCCGGTGTCTTCAGGAATTTGTAAATAGTCTGCCATAAAACCTTTTATAAGTTAAGAGACAGAAAACGTTTAGGACTTTCTGTTCCCAGCTGTGTTACTGATTTGCAGTGAGAATTTGTGTCCATTGATGCACCCCTGGGTAACTGAGACTGCGTGTTTCTTGAATAAACTTCACTTTTTTAAAGCAGAGATCTATTTTTTGGAAACACTTGTGTTTGAAAATCTGGCAAAGTATTTGCACACAAATTAGCTTGGTTGGCAGGTATGAGGAAGTATAGAAGTATTTTCGTGGAGCTGAATTATGAACATTTCTAGTGATTTTTGGTTTGCTGCACAATAATGCCATTCTCTATTTTAAAACATGCACACACACCCCAGTCTCATACTGAGAACAAAGCAATGACAGATCTGGATAGGCTAAAATGCATGTCCATACACACAGCATGGTCCAGGTTTGTCAGTGGTTCTTCTCCAGATCTCTTACTTTCTACAGAGGTGTGCCTCCTTGAGTCAGGTCATATCACTGCCAGCAAGCTGAGCTGTGTGTTGGAATGACATCTTGGCATTGGAACATCTTCATACTGGCAAGCTGTTGGAATGGCTCTTGGCTTGATTTTAACCTGTACCAACTTCTGTAAACCATTTCTAGGCATGGGTCAGGAGATAGGATATTCCTGTCTTGAGGCCAGGACACTTTAATTTACTGATACAGCTGAAGCCTCAGTAGATTCATACAGCTGTCAGTAGCTGAATAGGTGGTAAATTTGAAGATTAATTGACTTACAC